ATCAAGGTAAGTGAGAATGGTCGATGATGTAGTTTTCCGTCAAGATAAGTGAGAATGGCCGATGATGTAGCTTTCCATCAAGGTAAGTGAGAATGGTCGATGATGTAGTTTTCCGTCAAGATAAGTGAGAATGGCCGATGATGTAGCTTTCCATCAAGGTAAGTGAGAATGGTCGATGATGTAGCTTTGCATCAAGGTAAGTAAGAATGGTCGATGATGTAGCTTTCCGTCAAGGTATGTGAGAATGGTCGATGATGTAGCTTTGGATCAAGGTAAGTGAGAATGGTCGATGATGTAGCGTTCCCGTCAAGGTATGTGAGAATGGTCGATGATGTAGTTTTCCGTCAAGGTATGTGAGAATGGCCGATGATGTAGTTTTCCATCAAGGTAAGTGAGAATGGTCGATGATGTAATTTTCCGTCAAGGTATGTGAGAATGGTCGATGATGTAGCTTTGCATCAAGGTATGTGAGAAAAAGCAAAATAAAACATACTCATGCCGTTGTCTTTGTAAATTACTAAAATTCACTTTAAGTTACAAGAATTAATAGAAACTTTATTTCTCATAAATATTTATATAAATTCATTTCATCAAAACCAGTATTATTTAACACAAAGCTTTGTTTGTTATAGAGCAAAGCCATATTTGGCCTCTCTGCTGTGTCCACCACAGGGAATGAAACCGCGGATTTTAGTGCTGTAATCTGCAAACTTACCACTATCCCATCGGTAGACTATCACAAAGTAATAACTTGTTTCTAACTTTAAGTCTCCTGACAGCCACTAGGAATCTAGAGGTTAATACAGATTCATGAAAACATAGTAAACTTAAATTTTTCTTTTCGCAATATCCAATTCTATTGGTTATCATACGGAAACTTTATACTCGTAATTAGTTAAATTTCTGCCACTACAAGTAACGTTAATATAAATAAATGAATAAAATATTCAATATAGCACACACACATTGGTGTAGCAATTCCTCTTGCGCTTTGTTTTAATGCTAAAATAACGGGTGACGTATTTAACAGCTAATATATATATATATATATTGCATCGTAGAAGCCATTAATCTTTATTTCCCAGGTGTCCGTCTTGTATTTTCCTCTCAAAGAATTGCTTGAATATAATGGAGTAGAACCGAATAATAGGATAACTGTAAGGCATGGAGAAGTGTCTCAAAATGATCAACTCATTAAACCTAACAGGTTATAAACTGGGATAGTTAATTCATATATGTAAATTGATTAATGTACTAAGAATTTTTCTCACATATTGTTCCAGAATAACTATACTGGTTTCATTTTTTGTTTTAATTGCGGGTAATACTGCCCACAGAAGGGGGCTTTTCTAAGTTGTCATATGAAGTAGGAGATTCCGAAATGTTTTGTTGTAGGAAGTGTGTGTGTTTGTGTTTTGTTATAGCAAAGCCACATCGGGCTATCTGCTGTGTTCACCGAGAGGAATCGAACCTCTGATTTTAGCGTTGTAAATCCGGAGACTTACCGCTGTCCCACCGTTGGATAAAAGTTTGTTTCTAATTCAGCACAAAGCTACACAATTGACTATCTGTGTTCTGTCCACCACAGGTATATAAACCCGGTTTCTGGCGTTGCGAGTCTGTACTGGAGGGGGGGCTCGTGGTAGGAAGATCTCAGGGATAAAAATGGG